AAAATTGTATCAGTTAAACAAGAGAAGAAAAAAGATTAAATTTTAAATTTTATTATTTTTTATTGTTTTTAAAGAACACATATATAATTGGAAGAAAAGTGAAAATGATGAAAAAAATTATCTTCATGATTTAAAGAAGTGAATGTATAATATTTTATCATCATGTCAATACTATGTTTAAAAAGTATCATTGATTAATTTGTAAATTTTTTAGTTGATTTGAGTATATTAACTTATAAATGTTCGACCAATTAATACATTTTTGAAATATGACATACTGTATATAGATTTAAAACAAAATCGTTAAAACCTCTAAATTTACATAATAATTAACATCATAATATTTTTAATATACTATTAAATCAATAATATATAAAATTATATCTTAATAAATATAATTGATTGCATATAATTTTTATCAACAAAATACCTACGCATAGCGTAGACGCAAAATCTAGTATAGGACAAAAATTGAAGAGCATTGTCCCCTTAGTATTTTTTTAAGTTTTGGCAATTTTGGACAAAAATAACCTTTTTAAATACTTTTAATTTCAAAATAAATATTTATATATAGTTATTAATTCCGAAAATTCCAAAAAAGGAAAGAATATTATTTTAAAATATCATTTTAGGAAATACATATATTTAAAATTTATTTATAAATATGTTCTAGAAAACGTGTTCTACAATCTAGTGTTTTATAGAATTCGTTTTTTACTATTTGGTATAAGATCAACCGAGTCTAGAATTTGTTTTCTACTATTTTGTATAAGATCAATCGAGTCTAGAATTGATGTTCTATCATTTGTTTTGTTTTCTAGATCTCTTTATAGAATACGTTATCTAGAACTTGTACTATATTCTACATATTCTAGAATATGTATTCTATAATTCGTTATATATTCTACATTTTCTATAATTTAACTTCGACTGGTTTGTCTTCATTCTAGTGAATATAGAATCCGTATTCTAACAAACGATTAACAAAATCAGAGAAAATCTAGGATCAGATTTTATCCAACAAAAAATAAATTTGAAATATTTCATTTTCCTTTTTTTTTGTTTCACGTTTTTAACATATTTGTGAAGTTTTTTTTTTGTTTCTTCTTCTCTTTGACGACAATTTAACGATTTTCTTGGAAGTTCTACTTTGATTTTCTGTTCTGGTTATTCAATTATGGTGCATATCTTAAAATTAGTATAATTTTTGGCAAATTCATGGCAAAAGTCACACAATATATTCTGATCAAAGTCACGACCTTTGTTACATAGTTTCATTTTATGACAAGAGAACACAGTAACTTGATTCGATGGTATCATATCTGAAACAAAACGTACTAGTTCATGGATCATACTTGTCAAGCTCGTAAAACTCAAAGTTCTTGTACTTCTGCGAGATTATCTCCGCTTGGACTTTTCTTGCAATATTTGTCGCACACCGACAAGGATCAGAACAGAAGTGCCTGCAAATCCTCTGAATGCTGTCAAGTGGGTGATCTGTTCGACCACAGCTGGACCAGCAGCTAGAACGACCAGAAATGCAGAACTAAGAAACGATATTCCACCAAGGACCTGAAATTGCCATCAGAGCCAGGGAATTTCAGTAGTAGATTGATGATAACCAAAATGGAATATATTGAAGGAATTGAGGGAGAAAGAGAAAGCAAGGAGGATCTTATGGTTTTGATGAAGAGAGCAGTGCTTTTACCAGGTCTGACTAGAGGGATCAATGCACTTTGGCGTTTAATTGTTCGCTTACATCGTCTATTTTTTTTAGAATATTTGTTTATTTTAATTTTTTAAATTTTTTTTAATTTTTTTTTTTAAATATTAATATGAGAAAATTCGTTTTTTAGGGCTAAAAGAGAATTACAATTAACATAAGTATTAAAGGGACAAGTACCTCAATTTTCTGTCTTAAATTTCTAATTTTCCCTTTTTTTTATGGGTTATCAAAATGATATTAGTATTAGCACTAACACCCAAAATGGAAATATTTAAGTCCACTTGAAACAGATGAGCCTGCGACACAAATGAAGCCCATTTGGAATGAGAAGAAGACAAGACATGCAACAGCAATAACGGTGAAAGACAAAATGGAAAAGAGGTCGGGTACAGAAAAGAAGCAGGCTGGAAATAGATTTGAGACGCTCGAGGATATCAATTATGAGCTTTAAAAGGCCACATGTCCAAAGTCTAGAGTCTTCTAATGGTTGTATAAATAAAACCCTAGTTGTAATCTTGAGAACTAAGTTTTATGGAAATGAGTTTTTGATCAAAGGTGTTTACATATTTCCTCTGTTTTGTCTTTTGAAAGTGATGATAGAAATTTCAAAACAAAGATAGATTTTGCTCAAAAGAGAGCTTTATTGAAAGAAATTGAAAAATGTAAAATAGAAGTAGCTCATAGAACTTTATTAAATGCAAGAAAGTAAATGAAATGAAGAAGCTTTAAAGTTGTCACCAAGAATTCAATAACATTTGATCGATATATTGAAATGAAAAAAGAGGAGAGTTGATGACCCAACTCTCAAAAGTTGTTATAAAGATGTTCATAACAATATATATATATATATATATATATATATATATATATATATATATATATATATATGATCAATCGAAACTAGTTTGCTAATTCTAGTTACATGAGTTTGAGAATGTCTATTGGATCTTAAGATTGGATTTGTGTTGAACTTTGGTGTATGCTTCAATACTTCCCCGCAAAATTAGCGTAGGATACGAAGCTAAGTTTGGAACCTGATATTGAGATGAGCTGACTTAGTAGAAGCATGAGTTGATGAAGGATCACATGAAGATGTAAACAAACTTCTCAATTTGCCATGGAGATGTAAAACAATTGACTTCATAACCTAATGAGACATGTGGCCTATACTTGGAGATCTGTCATGACTCACTCAGAGGTATCTTTGTACTTGGATAGTTTAGTATAGTCCCTTAGAAGTATATTTTGACCATTCTTTCTCACAAATTTTGGGTTTTCTGTATCCATCACATAACAAACAAAAGACTTCACCCATAACCAATAAAAAACTCTATAACACTCTACTTCCCATTCATTTGCCAATAACAATATGCCTTTTTCTGTGGCATTTCCAAAAGCACTTTGTGTGCACTAAGCAAAACCAGAAACTTGCATCCACAAAGCTATCTGTAGCAAACCCAAACCTAGTTATTCCATTATATCATCTTGAACTAGCTAGCAAAATCAGCAAATGATTTATCAACCATCTATTCCATTTTGTTCTGTCTCAAATAAAAAAGGGCTTGTTACCGTAATATAAAAGGAAGAAGGTTGAGAAACATGTCTTCTTGACTTGAGGCTAGAAACGAGAATCCCATAAATAGATTGAAGCTCTGATACCATGATAGCAATTTCAAAACAAAGATAGATTTTGCTCAAATGAGCTTTATTGAAAGAGATTGAGATGTAAAATAGAAGTAGCTCATAGAGCTTTATTAAATGCAAGAAAGTAAATGAAATGAAGAAGCTTTAAAGTTGTCACCAAAAACTCAAATTGAAATGAAAAGGAAGAGAGTTGTTGACCCAACTTATTCATAAAAACATATATCCAATATATATATATATATATATATGAATCAAACTAGTTTGTTAACCCTATTTACATGAGTTTGAGAATGTCCATTGGGTCTTAAGGTTGGGTTTGTGTTGGACTTTGATGTATGCTTCAATACCAAAACGGAAATGTTCAAGCCCATTTGAAAAAAACACCTCAATATTCGAGAATTATTTTTGCAAATTCCAGAATCAAGCTTAGGCCACGAGCCACTCTTACATAGCCACCTTCGCCAATGCCTTCTCCACCAGATTCTTGAAACTCCCAATATAGCTGACCCGTAACTTCGATTCTTCCAGATGCAACAAGAAGCATCGTGTGATAAGCACGATTTTTGGGGTCCAATGCATCAATTGCAGCGAGATTATCAGCAGTAGGCTAAAAAATTTGCTTCTCTTATAAGTATTGATAACTGTCAGACAGTTCAATCGATGCTGCAACGAGATGTTTTCGCAGGTAACAGTCCATTTCCCTTTCAAAACGGTTTACAAATCCAACATCATCCTCAACTTCATGGATAATCAGGTTCTCGATCCTGTATCTCTTAGGTTCTTCTTCACTTTCTTTCTGAACATATCATTTTATGCATCTCGTTTCAATATTATATGTGACTGGCCAGACAGTTTTCAACACGGTATTGCGCTTAACCAAGACTTTTTTAGTGTCGATAAGATGATTTATTGCATAAATTTTGCCTAGAAAATTTCAATTTATTTTTTTCAAAACCTTTTGGATGGAGAAAACTTTGTTATACGTCAATTTTCCAGCCAGTTTGAGCTAACATTCAAGTTTTCGAACAAGGGCTATCACCCAATACACATCTCTTTTCTGGTCTGCACATTGCTTAAGTATTGCTTCAGTTCTTCTTAAGTATTGCTTCAGTTCTTCTTCTCCAACATTTTTAATATAGTTTTCTTTAGTATTGCTTCGTTTTGCTCACAGCGTTTCGTAAAGAGAAATACGCACCGTGTGGCGTTTCTAGGAAATAAAAACATTCTCGTTTCCTCATTTCTAAGTATCAAAACAACACGCAGTTTCTGTTTCTATTAGATTTTTTGTTTTCTTCTTCATCACTTGCACAAGGCCTTCGTTCATTCAAAAACTCTCCAACCATCCCAAAGCAATCTTCCTGGTTTCGTATCTAAACGTAAGTATTCCTTTTATTTCAAAGGGTTTTGTGTCGATCGTTATGTGTATCATTTTAGGAGGAATCAATTAAAGAGATTGATGCACCCTAATTGTTGTTGATACTTAACCTAGATCTAGATTGAGAACCGGATTTGACTGCGATGGTTTAGGTCACAGAATCCAATCTATGGAATCGATGGATCAAATTTTGATAAAAAACCCTAATTTTGAAATCAATTCTTTGAGAAGTGTGTGTTTTTGTTTTCAGTTGCAGTGAATTTGGGGGGAACGGAGATGGGTTTCATAATGGAATTCGCGGAGAATTTGGTGCTAAGGTTAATGGAGGATCCAGAGGTGAGAGACAGGAAAGCGAGGGAGCACATATACGAGATGCACGAGAGGTGCAAGAAGATCAAGGAGATGTGGGCATTACCTATTCGTCCTTATGGTTTCTGGACATTTGAGCGACACAACGCTCAGCTTCGTTGGGATCCTCAGATTAGTCAGGTGGCTGGTCGGAGAGATCCTTATGATGATCTCCTTGAGGACCACTCTTCATCTTCAAAATAATCAAAACAGTGGTGAGTTTCCCTTTTGGTTATGAATCCGTAGATGCATTTGTCTAATTCAGTAGTTGAATTTGCGTTGGTCGATTACATGGTTTAACTTTTTGGGTTTGATGAAATGGTGTTGAACTAATTAGTGTTTGCACTTTGAGTTTAAATTTATGGTCTAACCTATGTTGATTTGTGGTGGCTGACTCTGCCATTGTTAAGATATTCTTGGTTCACTCACATAGTGGTGTGCTATATGTGGAGTTTTTAGTGTTCAAGTTAAGAAACTATATGTGCTTTAACTTTTTGGGTTTGATGAAATGGTGTTGAACTATTAGTGTTTGCACTTTGAGTTCAAATTTATGGTCTAACCTATGTTGATTTGTGGTGGCTGGCTCTGCCATTGTTAAGATTTTCTGTTCGGTAGAATATTCTTGGTTCACTTACATAGTGGTGTGCTATATGAACTGTTAGTATTCAAGTTAAGCAACTATATGTGCTTTAACTTTTTGGGTTGGAAGAAATTATGTGAACCATTAGTGTTTGCACTTGAGTTCTAAGCTATGTTGATTTGTTGTGGTTAGCTCTGATATTTGTAAATATTTTCTTTTTTAGCATATTCTTGGTTCACTCACATAGTGGTGTAGAGCGAAGTGTATTGTTCATCTGAGGAGTTTTCTACATCTCTTCTCCTGATCAATATATTCTGCAGTTTTTCTTCCTACTTGTTTACAGTTTCAGCTTCATAATTCTTTTCTTAAAGCATAGCTGCCTGTTAGCAAAAGTAAACTCAATTTCTGAATCGTCTTTCTTTGTCTTGTTGTAGAACGAAGATGTGGAGTGATGCTGTCTGGATGGATGCATATGTCTGCACTCAAGCTATTTTCCCGGAATTGTATTCCCTTTGTTTCTATTTGTAATTCAGGTTTATGGAAGCTTGCTTGAACAAACTCAAATAATATCGAATGAGAGAAATACTCATTGGTTCTTAGTAAAGTTGTTTTGTTTTTCCATCATATGGATACACTTGATGAAATGTGATAAATTTTTCGTGTTTCCTAGAGGTTTTTGTTACTCAAGTGTTTCCTAGAGGTTTTTGTTACTCAATATATCTCTCCTGGTTGAAAAAGATAGAAAACACACAACATCACATTTTCACACAACCAAGAAACGAAAACACTTATGGTCCACGTACTAAGAACGGTACAAGAAAATAAAAAAGAGGGCCTAAGATCATTTACCAAACCCCAACAATCCAAACGCAAACAAACGTTTTAATCTGAATCCGAATCAGACGATGATTTATTCCCATCAGTGGTAGTAGTAGTAGCATCTTCTTTCTTTCCTGCAGCGTCTTCCTTTTCATAAGCCTTAACAATGTCATCAACAGGAACCAAAGGAAAATAACCAACCACAGGGTAACCCATCTGGGTCATATCCGTCACCAAATCGTTATACATTCCGGAGAAGTGAGCAGCCACGGGCAAAGCTTTGCCTCCCACTGCATGGATTGGTTTGTACTGGTTGAGTTTAGCCCAGGCTTTGACTGAGTTGGTCACAAGGAAACACTTGTACTCGGTTGCAGCATAGTTAAAGGCAGCTTTAGGACCACCGGTACGAGCCTCTTTCACAAACCCTTGAGCCTTCTCTGTTGCCTTGCTCATCAACACACTCGCTTGAGTTACCACTTGCTTAGCCATTGGAGGAGCATGCTTATCAAACTTGACCGAAACTTCACCGACCTTTTAGAGTAAATAAAGTAAGAACAAAAATCAGATCTACCCCAGAGAAAAAAAAAAATCTTAAATTCGATTAGACTATTTCTCAATTTGGTTGAAACGATCAAGAACATGGAAGAGAGAAGTGAAATTAGGGTTACCTTGTGATCGAGAAAGACGAGGAGAGTATCTGGAACATCCTTGAATTTGTTGTAGACAGGGGTAACGACGGCGGTGACGGCTCCTTCTACTTTACCGACGGCGGATTTAAGAGGACCGGAGTTTTGCTTAGCGTAATCGTAGAGACTCGTGAAGCTAACGAGAACGTGGATCGCTGCGATTCTCACGAAACCTAGGTGTTTAAGCCCTAGCTCCTTGCTACTCGTCTCCGTCTCCATCTCTACAACAAATAAAAAATATGAGATTACTCTGAGATTCCTCACAGAAGAAGAAGGAAGAACAAAAAGTGAAGATAATCTTCTTGACCTAATTTTTTTTCTTCTTTGTATTGAGTTCTTCGCTTCTTGCCTGTCACTGGTGCTCTGTATGTTGTGTTAAAACAGCAAAGTATCTTCGCATCACGTTGAGGAGTGGTTAAAAACACGAAAGGGATGGACTCGTCCACGTGATCTAACGGTCGAGAATAGATCTGGAGGGGTGGGGCCTCGAAAAGAGAATCGTTTTCTTGAAAGGCGTGTCGTGTGTGGATGTTTCTGAGATGGTTTAGCTGTGGGCTCCGCGTGACGTCAACGTTCTAGGAGATTCTGGGACGAACACGTGGATACTTCCGATTCCATGAGAATCTAGTATACTCTTTAAGGTTTTGGATTAGTAGCTATATAGTTGTTCATTCTATATGTGAAGGAACCGAGCATTAGAGAAACAATGACGGGAAAACGACAAAAGGATTTATTTTACTAGGTTGTTTGTAAACTTGTGTAACTAATCCACTATAAGCGTTTAAACAGTATAATTACTTTTCCAACGTTGAATGCAAAATATTCTTATTCTCTTCCCAAAAGTCATAATCAAGATAGTAACAGTTTAAAAAAAGAAAACAAGCATGAAAAAAGTCTTTGCGAGATAAACGGAATGCAAATGTGGGAAATAAGCAACAAAGCAAGTGACCGTGTTCGATATGCATAATAGAGTAGCTAGATAATATCATAACCACTAAGAAACGCAATAATTCACATCCCCAAAGCCACAAAGATATAATACTTAAGCATGAAAATATCAAACTACAGTTTGAAGCGGAAATAAGTAATGTATCAGGAGAGTATAAAGATTATTGAGTTGTTAGATAATATCATAACCACCGAGGAAGTGGTTGGGCTTGTGGTGTCTTGATAGAGGAATCTTCAATTAACCTGAGATTTCAGGCGCTTCGAGTACTGCAGAATAGGCTCTCTCACCTGGTAAACAAAACAATCACAAGAACCAAAAAAAGCTTGTCAGTTTCAACATTTATATAACTCAAGTTGAAAAACATGAAAGAGTATTTGGTTTATAGTATTAAGAGACCATGCTGGTTTTCCTGCAACGTCGATCCTGTGAGGCTTGGCTACAGTTTGTGTCGGCGTCTTTGCATTTGTTACCAGCCACTCCGTTCACCGCAAAGCTCTCCCTCGAAGCCACAGGCTGAGCGACACAATTACCAAATTAGGACACACTTAATAAAAAGTCACAATATAGGATATGTCATTCACTGATGGTGATTTCTCATCAACCTGTGCCTTAATGCTAGTTGGAGTGTTATTAGCTTTGGAGATGGTCTGTTCGCTTATAACAGAGCTGTTGTGCTGAAACCCTGATCTTCCTTTAGTACGTGTGAAGTCTGATCCTATGGAGTGGATGCCTCCACACGTAGATACATCTGTTTGTGTCAAAAATAGGTTTTTGTGTGAAAAATTAGATCGATTAACACAGCTCAAAAATTGGGTGAAAGAAGGAGTTTGTACCTGCAGTTACAATGGCCTGTAGGTTGTTGGTCTTGTTTAGAGATTCGTTAACATCAACATCCTGTCAAAGGATTCAACATTAGAAAAGCTGTTCCAAGGGATTGTTTATCTTTCTAGTTTCTAAGTAAGATTACCATATCGTCTATGGCAAGAACCTTTCTGACTTCATTTAGCTTCTTCTCGGTTAGACTAGAATGAATTACACGCTTCCCTGTATATACACATTGCTCAATGACACAAGCTTATCATGACAAACAAAATTTACTATAAAAGGGTCTGAAAAACTGAGACAGCAAACCTAGCCTGCGGTTGCTAGAAGCTTCCACGTAGCCGTCTTGGGTCATCCTGTCTAATAATTTACGAACAGCGGCCTGGTTTGCTTCACCGTCCAGCATGTTGTGGAGCTTTGGAATGGTCACATATTTCATCGGAAGAGAATGGTACAGAGCCTAACAAAAAATTCATGAGCCAATGATGAATCTCAGGACAATCTTCATTTATCCATATCTGTTTTTCCTGTATTATAAAGAGAGTCTGAAGTCAGAGTCTCTCACTTTCATGTACATGTAGTCTTCAGGAGGTATAGGTTTCCCATCCTTTGGAGCAGTTTGACCATCAGCTTCATCTTTCACAAAGGTGAATTCGCTCCCAGGTGTCTGGTGATAGTTAAATTTAGTTGATAGCTAAAATAGATTATAAAAAAAAAGGAAATCAAATCAGTAGGATTGGATGAATTATATACCTTATCTCTGTTTTTAATGTACGTGTCCTTCCCCGTCTTCAAAAGAACACCTTCTTTCTCGAGCTGATCCATGATTTCTGAAAGAGGATGTGATCATTTAGTGGAAGATAGACTATGAAGTTAACAGTATATAGAACTTCAACAAACTGAAGATTTCATCATTGTATGATGCTTCCATGGTGAGTTTTCGTAGTGAATTTCATCAAGCTTTGATTTACCTTCAGATAGAACCTGAAATAATAAACACGAGTGGTTAGATTTTAGAAACGGCAGGAAACTAAATATGCAAGAGGAAAAACTCCTTACTACTGAGATATCTGGGAAGTTTGAAAGAACATCAGTGAGCTCCAAAGTATCAAGGTGACGGGAGTTGATCCAGTCCTTCACCCTTGCTAACTGCTGTTCATTTTCAGCCGGATCCTGTGTGTCATCTTGAAGCATTCCATAGATAGGTGAAGTTAGAAGAAGCTTTCTTATTCTGTGGAATCAAAATTTGCGCTAATATTTGTAAAATCGGTCACCTTCATCGACCTCCCCATCATCATCATCTTGTTTCTCTGTTAGATTATCAAATTTACTCATTTTAGTGAAAGCTTTACTAGAAAGGCATAGCAAACTAAGATTTGTAAATCATCATTACCTACTGCCGCTACAATGAATTGGTTTTCTTGTGTTTGACTGATCTGGAAACAACAATGAACATTACGGTTTAGGAACATCAGAGTGTAATGCAAGTAGGATGTAATGACCGAGTAAAAAGCAAATAGGCATATAAAGAATTTGTTAACCTCGCTATCTGAATCAGAAGGCTGGTCATCCTGTACAGAATCAGGTCCTGTACTCTTCCCATCATCTTGCATGTCATCATTTTCATCCTCACAAGGATCAAGCACGCTCTTTACCTGCACAGATCATCCACAATGAATTGACAGCACAAGACGAGCAATATGTCTAGTGGGTTGTATTTTCTTCAATCACGTTACCTTTAAAGTTAACACGAGATGCTTGCTATTAACATTCCCAACTTCCATTCTCAGTGGGTTCTTAGTCCATACATACTGAGCTTCTTCTTCTGTACAGCCTCTGAAGAAAGGTGGCTCGTAATCTGGTGGCTGCAAAAAGGTTCAAATAACAGTTATCAGTCTTTCTTCTGGACATCCAATTTTGGCAGAGTGGAGCAAAGCGAGATAAGATGAACAGCAATGACATTATTCTAAAATAAGATGAACAGCAATGACATTATTCCAAACGAAAGCCAAAAAAGCTAGAATGAGAACGCAACAAATTCAAAGCTACTTGTATGTTTCACAAGTGTGTAGAACTAATCAGTAAACTAGGAAATTCACAAGCACAAAATTTGAATGCTTATAAACAGAATATGTATATCTGCAAGTCAGGAATATAATATGAAAGAAGCTCTACTGAAGCTGCATTATCATAATAATAATATCACCAAGGTTCATAGAATCTAGGAAGGCTATAACCATACCGTCACATCATCGTAGTACAGAAGCTTCATCACTATGGTGCGCTGGATCAGAAGCAAAAAGAGTAAACACTGTAATCAGAAAGTTTGGAAACTGATGTAACTGGAATATACCCCTGAAGAGTAGTTACAATATTCATTACCTCATCTGGCATTTTGTCGAGAGTCCTCATCAACTGAACTAGTGTACGAACCATTTTGCAAGCTGAACTCCTGATTTCATGAAAAATTATAAAGCATGTTACAGAAGATACAACCAAATACACCTTAAAGTAGCAAAAAGAAATATCTCAACAGTGCACCTCATCTGATTTGGGGTAATGTCAGCAGTCGAGTTAAAAGTTCCTCCATGTTTCTTATTTCCAGTACGATTGATGTTCATCATCACTTCTTGGCTGTCAGTATCCGAATAGCTGAAAGAAACTGCAGTAACACAAGCTCTTTATCAAAACCGATAATGGATGTTTCATTTCCACATATATAAACTGGAAGATGTGAGGTATTAATTAATCAGACAATCCACCAGAAAACCACACTTTAATCAAGCTAATCAATCATCTCGCAAGAATCTTACAAGCATATTCTTCAATCATCGGACCATCTACTGTCTCACATATGCAGAACATGAGCGTCTTCAAGTATTTCCTCTGCAGCGCATCGTAGACACCTAGATTCCATCACGAGGAAAACAGTCATCAAAGATGAATGAGGATACAGTTAAATCAATCGTGGAATGTCAAATTCGTTAATGTAGAAAACCTTTCTCCATCCAGTCAATTAATCGCCGTGATTCAGCGTCCATAGGCATTAGCTTCTTAATCTTCATATCTGTTTCATAAGCATCCGTCAATAATTATTTCCTGTAGTTATACAAATTGAGCCAGAGATCTAGAAACTTCCAGATTAAGCGTCTTACCCAAAGCAGGAACCGATTTGTCGTTGAAATACTTCTCCGGGAAGAGCCCCCTGATGTAACTGATGTTGAAGATAGCAATACGGAGCAAATTCCTAGTCTATTTCAACAAAACGAAGACCAAAAACAAAGACGTCGAGTGACAAAGGACCACAAACTTCAGCTGTTTAAGACGGATTAACGAAGTGTTCACGATTCTTCAAAATTAAGCAACAAGTGACGGAAATCAGAATCGAGAGACGAAATCCATCTCTAGATGATAACGTAAAATAAACCCAGATCTATATCTAAAAAAAACAACCAGGAAGGAACGAGAAATTCCACTTCGCCATAAGATACATAAACGAAAGCTCGATGAAGGCGTTTTGTTTACCAGAAGAAGCGAGTCCTGCTCGGTAATCTCAGCTTCCTTCAGCTTCTGAGCGACTACCTAAAGGAGAAGAGAAAAAAAAGCGAACACGAAATCAGATTGCGAGAACTGGAACGGAGCAAAAACTCGCCAGGCTAAGAGAAGAAGACGGAGAGGAGAAATTGATGATCGGCGTCTTTTTGCTCACCATTTTTGCAGAGGTAGGAAAACGATGAACGTGATTCGTTTTTGCAGTATTCGCAGAGAGAAAAAGAGAGAAAGAGAGAAGAGAAAATTTCAAAAAAGAAAAAGAAATGGAAAATGGTAGTGTGAGAGTCTCTGTGGGAGCGAGTTTGAAAGTTTATAGAGAGAGTATGGGAGAGAGTATAGAACGGAGAAAGATATTTAGGGGTAACGTTGGTATTTGGTGAAAATAGTAGGGGTATTTTCGACCAATTACTACTAACGGCCTATAGGCAAGCATTACGAACAAGCGCTGCTCAAGTTCGTTGCGCTGAGTGGACCCTACTTTAGATTTCGAATTTTTTAATGCTTTTTTTGTCGGCCTATGCCTTTTTTTATAAATTTTTTTTTTGGGGAGTTACAAGAAAATCAAAAAAGAACCCTTACATTCGTGTAACATTTATCTGTATTATTACTGTAAATAAAAATAGTCTAGCGTGAGAACTGAGAAACAAAAAAAAACTTAAATCTTGATATGTGATGCAGTGAAGCTGCCATGTGAATAGTAAAATGTTTTTGTTTGAATCTGATAATTCGTTTACAAACATTAAAAGTTATCAATATGCATCGAAAGTTTAGCAAGTACCTAGATTCATATTATCATATATTTATAGTCTAGGGGTTGAAAATTCTATTTATTTGCCGAAAGCCCTAGGGGTTGAAAATTCAATGACAATATATTCGGATTATATCAGTTTATCTACATACAAATTGTTCACTCATCTCACGGGGTCGGATATTCCTGAAAAACAAAAATCGACCTATTGTGTATTTTTCTCCCTTGAAATTGTCTAAATCTAAAGTGACAACAAGAAATTGATTGGTAAACAATACTAATTAAGAGAGAAGAGAGAAAGAAGGCATATCCTCGATCCTGAAAACATCATCCATCATCAGCTCTCTCTCTAGCTGCCCTCTCGTACATCTTAGCACATCCTACAACATCCATTAACCATCATCATGATCATCACCATCACCATACAAACATATCATACATATTGTATATAAATCATAAGAAAAAAACATGATCGACTCACGTTGAATTCCATGTATGTTGCGTTCTTGTCAAGCCATTGCTTGTCCATTACGGCAAAGGCCACACAGTAAAGCAAATCAAATGCCCATTCATTTTCTGTATTTTCCAAAACATTTAGTCAAAAATCAAGTAAATCATAGAGCCATCAATCAAACTATATATAACAAACAGGTTTCACTATATTTTACCTGAAAGCATTTGTAAGAAAATCGACCGTACAAAAGTCCTAGGTTTTGCTGCACATTGTAGAAAAGAAAAAACCAGTTTTTGCTTCACCAAACTAATGCAAGATCATTAATGGAAAGTTAGTGAGTGAGTGAGTAAGGGACACTCACAGGCTTCAAGATCGAGCATTTGCATGATCATGAAGGTGATGTTGACGCCAGCTACAGCGAATGGATATTCCCAATCTGCTCTTTTGCCTCCTTGTTTCTTTAATAGACGCTGAAACGAAGTCTACACCGAGAATTTCACATAAGAATGTTACTAAATGTTCTGAGACTAGAAAAGTAATGAGAGTTAGTTATCTTTACCGAGAATGTCTTGGCAAAGAAGAGAAGATTCTCCAGTGATATGAATCCAGCTCCTCTAATAACAACATTCACATAAACCAAATTAAGCACTACTATTTCGCATGTTCTATTACGCTAGAGAGAGATAAAAGGGTTTAACCTGAAATCAGTGGATGGATCTTTTCCTTGCCATCCCATATCTTTCCATTGATTTGAGATCAAATCTTGAAGCTTTTCACCGGGATACGTTGCGGACCACAATGCTCTAAGTGCATCTTGATGGTCAGGCCGGGACGCATCAAAGCAATTCTTCATTCTCTTTCTAAGCCTCTTCAGTCTTTCTTCCTGAAAACAAAAAAAAAACAGTCTGATTCTGAAAAGAAATGCTTTCATTAAAAGCCATTATTTTTGGGAGCTGTTGTTTTCTATTTGTGTTATACCTGCAATGGTGTCAAGTTAGAACAGATTAGTTCATAAGGTCTCTTACGGATAAAGCACACACATGTTAGCCTCTTCTTGATTCTCCAACTAGGCGTGCCACCACAGCTCGCCTCATCTGTATCCGCATTGATCAGCACAACAAGAACACAAAATCAGCACCTAAGGAAGGTTCCATTAACTGCTCCGTTTTCTATAGTAAGCTTTTATAGAACAAATTACGTTCGACAATTACATGAAGAAATCTCATACTAAGTACTAACTTTAGAATTAATGTAGCTTGCATTGGAAGTTAGAACTAAAGCTTCAAAACACACTTGGTCAGGACTTAAAGAAGAACTTGGCTGATACTTGCTAGGCCCAATGGCCCATACATCTCGTTGAAATTAAGTTTTTGGTTCGGTTCCGAACTGGATAATCCAAATTTGGATTTTTCGGTTTAAGAATATGCTAGTTTGTTCGGTTTGGATTCGGTTTTTGAGAAAAATGCATAGAAGTCCTTCAACGGAAATAGAGATTGAACCGGTCTATGTTTTATTCATTTTGGTTATATGAAGGGGCCTCCGGGTTTAATTTGTTTCCGGTTCGATTTTACGGTTCTGGTTCGGTTTAGATTGGTTAAACTAGATTGCACTCTCATATAGTATCTCGTTATGGTGACAACTGACAAGTCACCTAACAATAGATAAATATAGATATAACACTAACCCCATTGCCATACAGAAACATTATGATTACCCTTTAAAATTGAGTACCACTCTACTCCAGTTTTAAAACTTGTCAACATATGCTCTGGAGGCTGATTTAGATATAAGGGGACCAAACCCAAAACAGTGAATATTTGTTTATCGTTTTTAAAGATAATAATAAAAAAGGTTCTTGAATTAATCCAAGAGTGTGTGATTGGTTTGACCTACTAACATAGATCTACTGAAGTTTGACTCACGTGGCAGACCGATTGAATCATTCACGGATCTCCCAAACCCGCCCGATTAAACTAAACCGGTACAATCCTATGCACCACCGATATGAATTATTCACATAGGGACCCACAAATAGGGCCCCAATCTTAGATTATGATTCAGACACGAAATGAAGCCGATGCTCCTTCTAATCCAGACACCTAATAATTATGCCAAGAACAGTCCCAAAAATATCACATTTTAAAAAATCATAATACTATTTGATACTACCATATAACAATTATAAAATTATAAAATACTAATTTCGTTGTAGATAGGTTTCTTTTGGTTATTACTCATCACACACGTTATTAGAGAAGTAGCTAGTCAAACATACTGTAGTTAGCCTTACTCTGCTACAGTTACCACTTACCAGCTTTGAGTGAATAAAAACGCATCACTGAAAATGACAGTTAATTTACACATTTTGTTTTTTTTTTGTTTTTAAGAGACAAACACAAACTTGGATCAATTGGAGCTGTGTGCAACATGCTAGACATTCACAAACTAAACTAATTTGGAAGATGAAAAAGAAATTGGAGATTTTTAATTTGGAAATTTATCATAAGATAGGAAGAAGAAAGAGCTATTAAACGGTGAAGAGAAATAGTGATGAGAATGACAAAATTTTCAGTTTTAGTTTCCGTTTCTTGAAAATGTAAAATTAGTTCATCGCATTGGATTGATCAAAATAAGGAAAATAATTTTTTAAAAACAAATACGGAAACTCCGATGATTTACGATTCCAGGTAGATTTTGGGATATTAGTAATAGAAAGAGATAACGTACCGGCAGAGGAGGAGGAGGAGGCTGAGACATCGGAGTGGGCGGCGCAAACGCCGGCGGAGGAGGGAGGTGAAAGATGACGTGTCCCGACGCAAGAAATTCTGACAACTCGCATCTTTTTTTTTTGTTAAAGATATTCTTTCCAGATTCCGGCTAGTTTTGACGGGGAGGACGTGCCTGTTACTACTCTCTTGCTCGTCAGCTTCGGCGACAGAGCCATATATATATAGAGAGATTGCGTTTAGTAGTTAGCAAAATGACGCATATACCCCTTTATCAGCAAACTCTATATACTCTAAAGTACTTGAAGAGACAATTATGTGACACTTCCAAAAACTTAATGTGCCATACAGACACGTTTTTCTTTTCTGATCCATTACTATTTAACCACTTTTGGGTGTGGTGTGATGTGATTAAGCTCTCTACCTTTTTAATCTCTGTCCCAACGAGATTATGGACCAAAGGGTAGGAATTTTTCGGTTCCAAGATAATGGTGTCAGATCTATAGTGTGTGTTAGAGCAATAGTTAGTTAGTTACAATACATTCAGAGATAAATTGATATCCGTAGAATCCATGAAAAAAGACTTGAGAAATTTGCGATAAACTTCTCCTGAAAATTTTGCCACTTGTAAGATGGTTCATGTTTCCAAAAATGGAATGCTTGACGAACGACACAGATTTTAAAAAGACGCTCAGAACTGAGAGATCTCGTGGTGTACGAGTCTCCTCGAATCATGATCATCATGATTAACAAGCTAGTGTCCTGTCTTCATATATTCTTACTTTCTTAGCATAGACTTACCATAAATAATCTGACAACATTTTGAAACAAGAAAATCCCATGATATAAAGACATTAATCTCTGTAGCAAAAGAAAAACGAAATAATATAGCAAATGGAAGCCGGAACACAAAAGAAGAAAGGAGAAGCAGCGCGATCCCTCGTTTCCATTACAAGTTTACAACAATTGTACTCATCTAAAACCTAAAGAGACATAAGGATCTGAATCTCAGAGAAATCATAACAGAAAAGGCCGAAACTTTGGATGCACCAAGAAAACTTTACGCGACTATCACAGTTTATATATAAAAAAATTGGTGTTTTAGAGTATATATTTGCCTATAAACGGATCATGAGACTCAAATGTAACGAAAGAATCAACTAATGTACAGTATTGGAAGGAGGAAAAAATGAAAAAGACTTAACCTTGAAATTTTTTTTGTCATTCTTCAATCTTCTTCAGAGCCACCAATCAGGGACTTTCAACCTCCGATTTCTATGTACAGCGAGCTTAACACTTGGGATCTTGTGTTTCACCTGTCTCCACAACATGTTTACTGCATCCTCTCTCTTAGGAGGGTACTGAAACTCGAAGTGATGAGATACATTCTTCAAGTTTTCCCACATTTGCAGCCATTTCTCCTTGGGAAACTGGCGGAGGTTGTTGAGGATGTATCCTGGTTCAAGCGCCTCTTTAATAGAGAAAAAAACTGAGAATTCTGAGTAGTCTATTTCATCTTCAAAGGGCAGCTCGATTCTGTCGCTTATGATGACGGGAATGCAGTGACTGACAATGGCATCAAATAGGCGGCATGAAGATGGAGTGTCTCCAGCTGGATGCAAACAGAATTTTGATGATCTCATTCCTTCCGTAGACTGGTAACAAGCAATAGAACACAATGAGAAGAATCACTATCATTGTTACAAGTTCAACATCAAATATCTTCCTCTATTCCTCTAAATCAGGTTACAAAATGAAGTGCAAGAACTAACCGATACAAGAACCAAAGATGGAAACCTCAAGTGTTGTTAAAGAGAACTCAGAAATCCTCACAAGCCAAATAGCTCCCCAAAACACTCGAACACCTAACACATGAATCAGGATCCTATCTATACTCACGTAGACTCTTTCTCTCTATCAGGCATTAATCTACATGAAACCTTGCCCTAGTGTAACATTCTGATATAGAGAGGCATAGTTACTACAGAAGAGAGCTTACCACTTTGATGTTTTGTGTCGTTGCCACACTTTTCTCATAGTGAACATCAGAGTTACCAGCAAGTAACTTCTCCAACCGGAGACGGATTTTACCTTCAGCTTTCCTGACTGTATTCCCACGGAAGTAAAGAAGTGTAGTGCGAGCCTCAAATGGATCCGGAGTATCAACACCACCATCCTCTGTGAAGGACTCAACAACATGTACATATGGTGAAACCACGTCTTTACCTAGACGTGCCATCTCTCTGGGGTAACGCCCAAAGTCCACAACAACGAGGATCGATGCGTTGACTTGTTGCCTGAGGAACCTGAAAGCATTAGGATGCGTCATCGGAATCACATGGTCTCTACCTCCTGAACGTTGCCAATACTTTGAATTCTCAAGATATTCCATTAACTCAACCTGACACACACAACAAAAGGAAATACCTTTAATCAATTGGACCAAAATCAAAGAGCTTTCGAATCCAATTCTTGAGTATTTTCCAATTCCCTGACCAGTAGATTCAATACTAACCAAATTGTGCAAATCGCTAATCTCTCTACATTCAAAGCAAGAACTGAATTCTGCAAATCGCGAAGCACAATAATGGATTCTTAGTTTCTAATTCTAATTCCCAAAATTCTGAAAATTGTCAACGAATTTGACATCAGAATTTCAAATTCCGATCGAATTTCACCTGTAATTGCCGGTCGAATTCCGTATCTGGATCCGTCATGTTCTTCCCGTGGGTATTGAAGCTCAGCGAAGAAAAGAAAGGAACGTAGAAGGCGTCCGCCAATTCCGGATCAAAAACCCTAAACGCCTCTTTCTCTTCCTCGCCGCCGCCGCCGCCGTGAAGGAGCGAGGCCATGAGCCAATACTCAACGCTGTGCTGTCGCTTGATCCCGGAAGTCTGAGGCCACGACGGGAGATTCTTGCCAGTGAGAGGCTCAACATCTGAGCTCTGAGGATCCATCATCGCCACGTTAAACTTCCGAGGGAGATCGTACATGAAGACACGGAGAGGCCGTCCGGTGATGCTACAGGGAGAGGCACGACGGGGTTGCGACTGAAGCTGAGAGAAGTAAGGTCTCGGATCGACGGTTCCCATGTAGATTGAGTAGGAAGCAATGAGGAAGACGAAGAAGACGATGATGCATATGGTTTTGACGTACATTTCTTTCTTCGTTTTCTGCGAGAGAGACAGAGAGAGAGAAAAAGTGGTGAGATTTGGATCCAACGGTCTCTCTCTATTTCTGTTTGCTGCTTGCTCGCAACGAGTTTTGACGAAACGTGTTGAGTCATAAAACAAAAAACACTCCCCCCTCTTTCAATCCAGGCAATGGCAGTGTACATATTGTAACCAAAAAGATCGAAAATTTTAAATTTACAAATCTCGCAATTTTTTTTGTTTTTCGATACAATGTGGTTACGGTACGTAGGTTTCTGCACATCAAAGACATGTTTACAGTTTACAAATTATGGGTTTCATTTCATGTCAATTTTGTAGATTATTTTCAATGACGATTTATGAGATGGTGATATACTATTTCGATTTGGATAATATATTGGGTGTAATTAGGTAAATTTGTTTTTCTGCGTTATGACTGAGAAATTGTGGAATTGGGTAAATTTGTTTTTCTGCAATATGACTGAGGAATTGTGGAACTGGATAAATTTGTTTTTCTGCGTTATGACTGAAGAATTGTAGAATTGGGTAAATTTGGGTAAACTCGATCCTGGCGGTGGAGTTTTTGGATGGACAGGTCCTTGCTCCAGTTTAAGGGTGTCAACGGCAGCTCTTGTATCATGCCAAATCTCAGGAGTGGTGGCTCTCGTATCTTCTTCCGCAGGTGCAGCTCCATCGGCGGTGTCACTCAACGGTGGTGCAGGACAGGTGGCTCGCTGATTGCTTTGCTGAATTGTTCTCGGTGTATTTGCTCCACCGTCGTCTTCATCATCGATGTGACCTGAGTTTCCCACAGGTGTGTGTTTCCAATAATTTGTGGTAACTTCGCGTTTGCGTTTTAGATGTTGGTTTGCGGTGGCTCCGGTCCTCCGGATGTGGTCCAGTGTAGATGGTGGAATATAACCGGACGTGATTGTTGAGGTATCAGTTTGTTGTTGCGGATAGCTTGTAGCTGTGGGAGCTGGTTCTTGAAGATATTCATTTTCTCGAGAATGGCAGTCAAAGGTGATTCTCCGATAGTCCGTGTCAACAGTTGCAGTTAGTCTGTAAAGAATTTCAGAGATTCCATTTGTTCTTTGAGAAGCTGTAAGCGTTTTTCTCTTGAAGTTTGAAGGCTGGTCTCAGGTTGAAGTTTGTGGCAACAAGAATGAAAACTCTAGTTTTTTGGACCTGCGGTAATAACGGCGTGGTTTGTCTTTCGGCGTACGATTACTGCTTTTTCGTTTGGTTTTGTTTTGGTCGTGCAAATCGCTTATCTTCGCCATGTCTGCTGTTTTTATCCCATTAATCTGTTTCTTTGTAATTTCTGTAATTTTGTCAAAAATCAAAAATTGGTAATAAAATTTTAATATTTCTACCAAAAAAAAAATTGATGCATTATTACAGGTAGTCGAAAAGAAAAATAAAACTCCCTCTGTTTTTTGTTTGAAAGATTTTCTAAAGTTTAGTTAAAAATGTATAGTTTTCTCATATTATACACTTTTCTATAAGTGAGAATCAATAATAATTTATATTAATGAATCATGATGTTTATAATTAGTTAATATTCTTTCTATTCAGAATTATTTGATGTTTAAAATTTTTGCACACAGATTAAGAATTTATTTTTTTTTTATTTTTTCTACACTAAAAATATAATTTATAATTTATTTTAAATATAATTCAGCCAATAAGAAGATAATCTGCAGAATATAAAAGGTAAAAATAAGAAAAATTAATTAAATTTTATATTGAAAAGTGAAAACATCAATTATTTTAGAACAAAAAACCTCCTAAAAAACAAATAATTCTGAACTTATTAATCAATAAAATTGTATACGAAATCTAAAAAATTTAATTTTGATGTAACAAAGATAAAATCTATAAAAATGCTTTGACACAAATAGATAGTGTGTCAAACCAGACCACATAACAAAAACAGAAAAAGCATTTTGTCAACATTTCAAATATTTTCCACCTATCTAAAAAAAATAACATACATTGTATCAGTTTCCTAATAATTACTCAAATACATTCTATTGAACCAATTAACTTTGGTAAATTTCTACCAGAAATACAAAAATAGGAAGTAGCAGGCTAGCAGCTAAGACCACCTCCAACCATAGTATTTAAGGAGTTCTAATCTTAAGTTTAATAATTTTTTATTCGTTTTAATGCACTAGAACTTCTTTATAATTTTTTTCATTGGTTTAGTGTCCAATGGTAGTCTTTTAAGAGAGGCTCTAATTTTTTTGCTTATGATCATAAGAAATTGATGTTTGGCCGAGTTTTTAATTTTTGGCCGAAGAATGCTAGTGTATGGTCGATGTTTAAATGGTTCTTTACATTGACCAAATCCATCAGCCATATATGGTCGATGTTATTCTTCATAGATTTCAAAGCCGTTTTTTTTAAAAAAAAAAAACCACTTGAATTCTAATCATTGGAAAAGCACAATGCAATACATCATAAAACACATTTTGATAATCATAACCAATATCAAAAGCAATATTCAAAAACTATAACTGATATACAAGATAACAAAAACCAGTTCAAGTTCTTGATTGAGTTTTGTAAAAGTTCTTGCTTTCTCTTGTTTCTCTTGCTTGAATCAGTTCATGTTTTATATGTGTTGGTGTTTCAAATGCTTGAATGTTTGCTTATGATCATAAGAAATTGATGTTTGGCCGAGTTTTTAATTTTTGGCCAAAGAATGCCAGTATATGGTCGATAGTTAAATGGTTCTTTACATTGACCAAATCCATCAGCCATATATGGTCGATGTTATTTTCCATAGATTTCAAAGCTGATTTTTTTTAGAAGAGATGCCGCTGCTTTGTAGAAGAGATGCCACCGATTTGTAGAAGAGACGCCGCAGTAGGGGAAAATTGGAGAGGATGAGATGACGAGGGCTATGAATGTATGAATGACCAAATAGGACTTGCCGCCGGAGTTTTTATCGGAGAATAATTACCTCTCTTCGAGAGAGAGATTTCACCAAGTCAAATTTCGGAGAAATCGAACAGGGATGCTGAGTAAAAAAAAACCTTTTATGAGAAAACCCTGTCCAACACAGAAAGGTTTGAATTAAAAATAAATAAGAACACTACACCAATTATTATGTGGGAGATCTAATGAGTCTTTAAATGCACTAAATTTAGAGACAGCTAAAAACTGATTATACATTTTTTTTTTTAATTTAAAACACTAAGTAGAAACCCCTCCTCATGCGCCGCCCCCCCCCCTCTTGAACCTGCTCTAAGGATTGATACAATCTGCTTTTTGGCTGCATTGTATATTCAAAGTCAGAAAAACACAACAATGTCATTTTGATTTGACATCTGTCGATTACACATGCAATCCTTCAATTTACGATCTCATCTTCTTAAATCTTAATAGTCCAAAGATATCCAAATTCAATGATTTCAAATAAATGACACCAAATCTGAATCTCTACGAATTGAATAACAATTTTTAGTACTGACATATCTAGTTATCTACAAATAAAAAAGATTAGAGAAACGGACATTTTTCGAAAATGATCAGAATCGTGAGGACTTATTAGCAACTTTTGGACCCACTTTCACCAAAACAGTCTCTTTCTCACTTTCTCTCTGACACTCAACGACGGCCTTCACGTTCCCGTTCCGTTTCACCGAAAATATATATACAAAACTTTGATCCATCGTTGTCTTCTTCAAGTACGAGATTTCCTCGATTTTGAATCAATAATGGCGTTTTGGAGGTTGAGCTCTGGAGAAGCCACTGGTTTCAAATTCCTCTTCTCAATCGCCTTCCTCTACGCTTTAATGTTAGCGATTGCTTACTGCATCCTCCACATGAAATTTATCTCGCCGCTTCCCGCCGACGCGCCCCTGGATCGGTTCTCCGAAGCCAGAGCCGTCGAGCACATCCGCGTCTTGGCGGAGGAGATCGATGGTCGTCAGGTAATTCGGCGTCGTTTTTCGTCTCCCTCTCTCTCATTGCTTTTCTCTGATCCTATGGTTTTGTAGGAGGGACGAACTGGGCTTAGAGAAGCTGCAACATACATTAAAACTCAGTTGGAGATGGTGAAGGAGAGAGCAGGACCTAATTTAAGGTTTCGCTTTTTGGATTTGTGATACGGACATTTGAATATATAAACTTTTTGACCAAATCAAAGGAAAGTGGTATTAATAAATGCTGAGATTCATCACTCCAACCACATTTATGCACTCAGTAAATATATAAATTGATTCCACCAAGCTTTCACAAGTATGTTCCACCTTCTTTAACTCTGAGCTGAAAAAATGATTGCTTGATTGTATAGAGTTGAGGTGGAGGAGACTCAGGTGGATGGCTCCTTTAGCATGATGTTTCTTGGCCACAGCATCTCACTGGGATACAGAAACCATACCAATATACTTATGCGGTAATGTTTGCTTAATTAACAGTATTCTTCTTTACATTGAATTCTTTTTTGTGTGGTCACTGGAGATAGTTTGGATTAGAACGTGAAAATCTTAGGTCTTTTGTGTTAAAGATATCTGGTATGAATTTGTTATTCTAGGAGACTTTGCAGTTTGTGTTTGTCATTCTTTTTTGGATTGACCATCCTTTTTCAGTTTTACCTTGTTTGTGTTATTATTCTGTCATCAATAGTCTGTAACATTGACTCATAGTGTCCCCAGTTATTAATGCTAAAGGTTTGACATTTTGGCAGTATCTCGTCAATGCAATCTCTTGACACCGATGCATCAGTATTGATGAATGCACATTATGACAGTCCTGTCAACTCCCCTGGAGCTGGTGACTGTGGGTCATGTGTAGGTGCGTAATTTGGTACTTCTCTTTAGATTCTCCTTCGAAATCATAAAATCATGGCCTTTTGTATCTCCGTTTGCAGCATCACTGCTTGAATTAGCAAGACTGGTAGTGGATTCTGGCTGGACCCCGCCTCGGCCTATAATTTTTCTCTTCAATGGTGCCGAAGAGCTTTTTATGCTGGTAACACATTAACGGTGCTTAGTCCTCTTTCGCATGGAATATTGTTTCATGAAATCTATCTTCTTGCTCTTACTATATTTTGTGATTGGTAACTAGGATGAGGTTTATATTATAGTTAAGGTGATGAAAATAAGCTCCTACATTATTTGTCATGTGTTTCAGGGCTCACACGGCTTCATGACGCAGCATAAGTTGAAAGACACCATTGGAGCTTTTATAAACGTAGAAGCTTCTGGGACTGGCGGTGTTGGTAAGATTTGACCTATGTTTTATTCTTGTATTCCCTAATAAACGTTCTACTGGGGTGAAAATAATAATGAATAAACCCTTTTTACTTATGACTAGGTCCTTTCCCCGCCAATTTTTTCCTCTAAGTGACAATGATGTTCTTAACTTTGATCTTGGATCTTCTCTTATCTATTATGATGATTGAAACAAAAAAGCTTATCTTTAAAGATCTGTCTAGACCATTGCCTGTAGTCATCTAAAGAACTTCTCTTGCTACATCCTGTCTCTAGAAATCCATGCATACACATACAGTATCGTTTAGGCACTACCGCAGAATGTGTATTAGGCGACAGTATTAAGTCTTTGCTTGTAAATGAGTATTGATTTGACTTGATGTTAATGGCTGGCAGATCTGGTCTGCCAATCAGGGCCTGGCTCTTGGCCGTCCACTGTCTACTCTCAAGCTGCAGTGTATCCAATGGCGCAGAGTTCTGCACAGGTCTCTCTCTCTCCATCTCTCCTGCTCGTTTGCTCTATAAGAGATGGTCATTCACACATCCACACACGTCTTCTCTGTTTTTGCCATGTCACTGACTATAAGTTGTCCTGTGATATTCCCCAGGATGTTTTCCCTGTAATTCCTGGAGACACCGATTACAGAATGTTTGCAGAAGATTATGGCGACATTCCCGGGCTAGACATTATCTTTCTTCTGGGTGGTTACTACTACCATACTTCCTTTGACACAGTTGACAAAATATTGTATGCATCATTTTGGTATAGATTATGGTTAAACTTTTCCTTGCTATTTTTCATTATTTAGCACAACCCTCGTTTCACAGAATATATTTTAACCAGACCTGGAAGCATGCAAGCACGTGGAGAAAACTTAATCAGCGTACTTAAAGCCTTCACAAGTTCTTCTAAGCTAAAGGCTGCTAGTGAGAGAAACTCGCTTGACATGGATACTAACAGTGACATGGTTGAAAGAGCTGTTTTCTTTGATTACTTAACCCTATTCATGGTGGGTACTTTTGACTCTATCATCATCTTTTTTCGTAGCTTATTTGCACTCTCTTGGCAAGCTGAAATCATGAAATCTATCAGGTGTTCTATCCAAGAAGAGTGGCCATGGTACTTCACAACATTCCAGCTGCTTTGTTCCTTTTTGCTCCTTTCTTTTTGTATATGCGGGACCCTGGGATGCACCCTTGGTTGTCAATCTTCTGGGCTTTCTTGAACGGTAAAAATATGCAATCTTTTTTGTTATTTTGTACTCTTTTCCTCCTTAAACGATGTTTCGGAGATTTAACTTCTTAAATCGTTGGCTGATTAGGAGTTATACACCATACCGCTGGGATTTTACTTGGTGTCATATTCCCTGTTCTCTTTTCAGTCATCGGATTGTACTTTGCTTATCCCATGAGCTGGTTGGTTTTATATACCCCGTTACGTTGTTCCACATTTTATTTAAAATTTAATGCTAAATAAAGCTGTTGAAACTATTGAGATTTTTTTTGGTGGGGGGAGACTCACGAGAATTATTGTGGAAATGCAGGTTTGCTCACTCATACTTAGCTTTCTTGATGTTCATCCCCTGCTCATTTTTTGGTCTTTTACTTCCAAGAACCATCTCTGATCGTGTGTCACATTGTCAAGGTGTTTCATCTAAGAAGATTATGAAAGTTGTAAAGTCCTTATTCTTCCACTTGCCTCAGTTGCATCCCTGTCTATTACTAGAACCTGTCTTTTAACAATGATCTTGTAGGAAACATCCGATGAAGCAAGGTTTTGGGGAGCATTTGGGTTCTATGCTTTTGTAACTTCGGTATGCACTTTTGTTTAATCAGTTTAGTTAAAACCTTAACCTCAAATTTTGTTATTTGTTTGGCTGATCTATGACTAACTTGAGAAACGTTTTCAGGCATATTTTTTCGCTGGATTAAATGGAGGATTCTTGACATTTGTCATCTGCATTTCTATGATATTGGGGTGGATTTCTTTCTGTTTATCTGTCAAGTCCTATGGCTATGATTCGATCAAGTAAGGCTTCTAGTCTTTCACTGAACTATCAATGCTTTTGTGACTTTGAGGATTAATTTAATTTCAAATTCTTCTTGGACATACGACAACAAATCTTTAGCCAATAAAGATCCCTGTTCATAAATTTGATTTAGATGCTTGCTTTAGACAGTAGTTTAGATTTCCACCTCTTATAGTTCTTCTAGTTTTATGTTTTTTATGACAATTTTTTAATCAGTTGTGTGATAAAAGTTCATCTCATCCAGGTCGCCCATGTTTTATGTGATACCTCTTGTTCCATGCCTTCTGTATTCTGTCTATTTTAGTGGTATTCTTACCCTACTTTTGATTGAGAAGACAGGAATGATGGGAGCAGTTCCACCACCTTATGGTTAGTTTTCTCTGGTTCAGCTAACCGATTCACGGCATTTAAGAATTTTACCATTAAACATTAAAATGCTTGTTGCGATTGTGAGTCATTGCGTAAGATATTTATTGTACAAGATTTTTCTTTGCAGGATTTTACCTCGCAGATGTAGCTGTAGCTGCAGTCATTGGAATTGTCACCGGCCTGTGTGTGGGTCCAATAATACCAATTTGTGATCGTTGGCTAGCCAAATCTTCGATCTTGAAATTCTTGCTGCATTTCAGTGTGGTTATGTTGGCCGTATCATCTCAGTTCTTTCCTTATAGCAAAGATGCACCAAAGAGAGTTGTACTCCAACACACATTCATCACTACGGGTAGCCTTTGGTCACCCGATATTTGAACTGTTATTGTTTTTTTTTTTTTTTTTGCTTTTTCAGAGTAACCTTCTTTTGCTGAAATGACTTAAATATTCAAATTTGCCTCTGCAGGTGGAAATGAAATCGCAGGCTCTAGTTACGATTTAGCTGTCATTGATTCAAATTCTATGGAGTTCATTTTTAAGCATGCTCCGGAGGTGGCAGAGGAACTTCATGCTGGCCCTTCTTTTTCATTGGGAAACGCTGAAATGTCTCCTCAAGAAGCTTGGTTGGTACGTACGTTACTTAGATTCGCTCCTCTTTGCATGCTGCTGACAAGATAGTAAGTGTTATCAGTTTTTTGGAATAAAGAGTTTTGTGGTTTTCTGTAGGCACTTTTCCCTATTTCCTGTGTAGTAACAACAAACGGGAGGTTCCCTGCTAAAGCCAACAAGATTTTGGAACGATATAGCCAATTCCCACACTTGAAAACTCATAAACCGACAACAACTTTTGAAAATGGAACTCGCAGAGTTCATCTAGAACTCTCTCTAGGGTAAGTTGGATTAAATTCCCTGTAAAGACTCCAAGAAAAATTTCTTCTATTCGCTTTTGTTTTGCTATTAAATTCCCTGTAAGTTGGCTGTTAACTATTGCTATATTCCATTTGCAGCTCGTTGGAGGAGATCTGGGTCACGGTTCTGAACATAACCGGGCCATTATCAGGATGGTCTTTCGCAGATGGCAAACCTCCAGGTCACACAAAACTAGCACTTCGTTTCCCTTCTCTTTGAGACATTTACTAAAACTTTTAAAACGAAAATGGCTTATTGTTGCAGCGCCTGAACTCCCACGGGGTGGTCCTCCATCTTACATATTGAGACTAAGTGGCAACAGCAGCGAGAAGTGGATCTTCTGGTTAGAGGTAACACCAAGGCTTTTGATATGTTTTAACATGCCCTTTAACTAGTTTTTTTCTTTGTCGAAACTGACTAATTCCAAGTTGATTATGGCAGGCAAGTAGCGAAAAGGAAATTAGAGTAGATGTAGCTGTTCTTGATCAACGTCTTGATGAAGAAACTTTACATTTGAAAAGGCTTTTCCCTGGATGGTCCGATGTTATTGCCTACACTAGCTTTCTTTCTACTTACTTCTTCTAACAAAGACTTTTATTTTCTCCTTTTTTGTTTTTTTTTTTTAAAATATTAGAGAATAACCCGTTCTTGAAACGGGACATCTAGTTCAGTGTTTTGGTATTTATGATTTTGAATAAAATGGTGTAGATGAACGAGAATCAAAATGCAAGTATTCCCGTTATATACTAACATCAAAGATCATTAAGAATCATGCTCCGACTTCTACTAAACTCCCTGACTCGAGGATAAATCGGTGATGATTAGTTTAGCTCAATTAGAATATCCTACACATTTCATGGAACAGCATTACACTTGACAAAATACCATGCTCTAGAATCAACTTGTTCAGTTTTATCCTCTATCTTGCTATTCTAGACAATGGGAGAGGCAAAGCAATTGATTCAATTCAGAACACAAGTTTAAAATTTTGTATTTCTAAATCGCCCAAGTGCAAGTGTGTGTTACAGTAATCTAGATGGCGAATCCTCAAGGAACTATAGTCTAATTCACTAGGGATGCAAGAAATGAATTAAAAGCTAGATCAAGCAAGTGTTATGGTTTTTTTAAATGAATCCTAAGTGCAAGAACTGAAAGAAAATAAAGGAAACAAAAAACTAAAAGGTGCAGAAGAGATTAAAGTATAAACAAAGCAAAGAGCAAGCAAGCAATTAACCCAAACAAAAGAACTAGAAGGAAAAAGTAAGACTAAAAGTCAAACACGAGCACGTTTTTTAATTCTTGCATTCTTAGTGAGTTATTAATTTCTTGAGGATTGACACCTAAACTGCTACAACAAATTTCAATTTCACTTGGTTAATTTAGGGATTTTAAATTACTTTAGATTTGAAATTCTTACATCAGAGTTCAATGTAAGAGAAAATAAGAGAGAGAAATCAAGATTACTTTCTAAAGTATGAATCAAACCGTCTCGGTGTGAAGTAAATCCAAGAGAGAGGTAGTAAACATGCAAAGGAAAATTAAAAGCGGCATGTACAATGGTAAGGATGTTTCACCTTGGAATGATTGGTCGGGAATGTGGGAAGTAGAGCTAGAGCCGCCAACTTCATGTTTCCCGAGGAGTTGATAAGTGTGGATTTAAGTGGTTCTAAGCCATTGTTTTTGGTGTTTTTCTATCTGCACTTCTCACATTTTCATGTATTTCATCACCATTTTAAAATATTTTAGTAGTAGCTAATCGGTAGCTATGTCAGAGTTTGCTTAATATATTGGCCAATCCAGTTGGAAACTAATGATTTATATCCAACTCAGAGTTACACTCATTTATAGTCTATAAAGACTAAAAGTCCACAAATATATCAAAACCTAGATTTATCCAATTCCTTTCATTTATCTACTTTGTTTTCTTAATTTTATTGATACTCATTGATAAGGTAGCAAATTTCTAATGAATCCACTAAATTGGTTTTCTACCATTGTTCCCTAAACATGTATTTTTTCAATGAGTTCGATTTTGTCAAACCAATTACAAAGCAACAATATCCATGGTTCAAAAGATACTCTGTAGTTTTTGTCTCTGCACTATCATCTCCATTTACTTCTTCTTCGGCTACAGTCTCCATTGTTCCCAACCTATGAAGTTCTTTCGGGTCCATGTACATGAAGGGACTTGGTTTTTTCCTCTGCTTTGTCTATGCACTGTCATCTCCATTTCTTTCTTCTCTGCTTCACTATCTCCATTGATTCTGATCTCACTTATGTCAGCAGAGAGGAGTGCATTTGCTATATATTTTTTGTTCCATATTTCCTTCTCCTGCAAGTTATAAAGCAAAACAAATTAAAAAAAAAATGACAGAAAGTTTTTTTTTTTTTTTGGTAAAATAAAATGACAGAAAGTTGATAAAGCTTTACTACTTTTCAGAGAGATTCGCAATTACCATATTCATATATGACTTTGATAACATTTTCTTTATCAAACCCCATCTCAAGGAAATGATCAATAGCCTTGGAATTGGAAAACCCAGCTTCAGAGTTACTCTATACAAAAACGTATAAGAGGAAAGAGAAATAAAAGATAAAAAAATATCAGAAACTGTGATGACATGATATAAGATTGGAGTCACACCAGGTTTTATAATTCACAAGGTTGTCAAAGACAACAAGCTTTGTTGGCGGAAAGTGGAATAGATGGTAGAGATGGAGTGATTATGGGATGATTGACTCTCTCAATCGATGAACAAACAAGTTATTTAAGTCACACAAACAACTAAATTTGTGGCTTCTAGAGAATAGAAGTGAATCTCACACTTTTATTCAAAAGAAAAGACAATTATCCAAAGAACACACTTTGAAAGAAAATAAGAAACTTCTATATTAATTTGATTGAAGGGGCCCTTTTCAATGAAGACAGAATGAGCTTATATAATGTTCTACACAAGTCTTAACCAACGTTCTAAAAGCTAAAGCAAGAAAGAAATCAAAAACTAAATGAAAAACTAGCCGTTATGACTAAATCTCGGCCAAGTAAGGTAAGTGGAGCTGTGCTTGAGTCTTGACAACTTGGGTGCGTAGGAGTTGTGTCTTGGGACGTCCAGATTCAGTGAATGAAGCTCCAAAACGCAGCATCTTAGAAGAAGGAGCCGTTGGAGAGTTATTCCTCCAAGTGTGAATGCATCCGGAAAAGGAAAGTGCACAAACATGAGGATCCGCCTGATCCTGTGGTTTCTAGAGCATGGTAAGAAGTTTTTAGACTCCTCCAAATGTCTAAGGAACTCCCCTGGTCGCCAAACTCGGGTTTGTAAGAGATTGAACCGGTCGGTTGTCATACTTTCCATAAACAGCTGCGATTGGCTTAATTGAGAATTCAGTTGGATCCGCCTGATCCAATGCGTGTTGGTGCACCTTATGATTTTTTTGGAAAGCTTCTAGAAGTAACTCAGAGTCTCCTGGGTGCCACTGATATGTTTGAAGTCTCATAAACCCGTAAGTTGCAAATTAGGCAAGTGGAGGATCCATCGATTTAGAAATTGGATATCTCCTAAACCAAAATCGATCTCGGTCTGATTCCAATTCTCTTGGATTCTGTGATGAATAAGGAATCCATAACAAGCCGGTTCATAGCTTGATTCGTCCTGGTTTTTCCGGAATCCTTTGATTAATGCGCATATGTCTAAATCGGGTATGTTGGAGATCACCCGATTTGTAAATTGAATTACTCTTATGTCTGAACTCCAATCGGACTGATTCAACTTCGAGGCGTTCACTGGGTGAGATAGAAATGTAATACAAGTGTTGGCCGAGCTGGACCACTTGATCTCGGACTTCATCAGTGCTGAATAAGGTGCATGGGTCTTCTTGGGTGGCTTGAACATGCTTTGGCCAAGAGTTTGAGTTGATTCTTGAGAATCTTCATTTATGGGTCGACCCAAAAGTGTTTTGGCTCGATCATATATCCTTCATTGATGGCATTTGGTTGGTGAAACTCCAAGTTTTCATCCCTGCTTCTGTTCGGCTCGCCTTTATGCTCCATTGTTTTCTCCGGTTCAGCTTCTATAAGGTATCTCTCGGCTTCAGATGGGCCGTCTGGTTTGTCTATGGTCATTGAGGTCTCTTTGTGATGGTTTGCTAGGTCGATGACCATCATGACAGAAGCGTGAAAACTGCAAAACAACATACGAGATCAGAATATTAGCAACTCAACTGTGTACTTGGAGATAGTATGAATAATCACCGATGTACAGTATCTGCATTTGGTCTTGGTCCTGATTCCTGAAAAATCATTGAATCACACATTATTATTGTTAAACATATAGTTAAATAGGAATTCAAGTGTAGAGGGAAATGCCTCACCATTTTCCTCTTCTTCGTCTACACTCTCTCACCTTCATTTTCCTCTTCTTCGTCTACACTGTCACCTTTCATTCTTCTTCTGCTTTGCATTCTTTTTTCTGGTGCATGTTAACGATATGCACCCCACATTCTTTTATCACCCACTTCCTTAAAAAATTTTCGATCACAAATTCAAAGAAAAGCTTGTTCGAAGTCACATCTTCTATTTGAAATTCAAAGATGTACAAATGCTCTGTTATAGTGCAGAATAACTTGTGGAAATCCCGCATAACTGTCCCCTCATCACTATAGACTTTATAATACAACCCAGTTGGTGTACTACGGGTTTCATAATACTCCTCCCTCTCAACCAGCAAAATGCAAGCTTTAAATATCAAAGACGAAGGGAAATGCCTCTCGCTCAACTCCACTTTTAGGGAACCTCCGTTAGCTCGATGAGTGAAGCAGGTTGGGATTTCTTTACCTGGTAAGACCGTAATTTTTCTAGTCGATCTCTGGAGGAGGAGATCTCTCGCTTCTTTATTCAGCTTGAAGCAGTTACCAAACTTTAGACGAGCACGTAAATAACGAAAGGAGAGATCTAGTTTCTCTAGAGACTCACAACCTTTTGCGTCTAGCCGTGTTAAGGAATCCGGAAGCTGTGGGAGCGACAAGAGCTCTTTGCATCCCCTCAATATAAGATGAAGTAGACGAGACCATCCCTTGACCGATTCAGGCACTCCTTCTATTGCAGTTCCACGGAGATCGAGAAAGCTGACGTTTGTGGAGATCTCAGGAAAACTTTTTAACGACGAGCAGTTCCTAAGATCAAGTCTATCAAGCGATTTCAAGTTTACGTTGACGGGAAGAACCTTCAGTTCGGGGCATTCATTCAGATTCAAGTAGCTTACTTTGTGAAGGTTTCCTATAGAGGAAGGAAGCTCCACCAGACTTGAACATTCTCTAAGATTCAAAGTTTGGAGATTAGTTGCATTCCCAATAGAGGAAGGAAGCTTCACCAGACTTGAGCAATAATTGAGATATATGTCTTAGAGATTAGTGGCAGTTGAGAGATTAGGAAGCTCCTTCAAGTTTTTCGAACAACACAAATCCATCCACTTGAGATTTCTAAGCAGCTGTACAGACAAATAACAAAAACACATTTATACACTTAGCAATATAACACATTAAAAAAATTAGGGAGTGGCAAGATGACATGCCCCGGCTATTAGTACTTTTTTTTTTTTTGAACAACAAGCTATTAGTATTTAATCAAATAAAAGAAACAGTGTGGCAAGATCAGACTATTTTTCTTTCAAGTAGAATAACTATACAAATCTGACCGATAATAATAATGATAACTCTACAAAAGAAAACATATCATAGATTCGAAACAAAATTGAAATCGATATTAAATAAAATATCACTTAAATAAAATTGAAAAACGACATTGAATATAGTATATATAACTTACTTTGATTCCATCCCACAGCTTCTCAAGCTTGCTGTAACGCATGTTTAATTCCACGAGGAATTTCAGGTTGACATTGGCAGGAAAACATGTCATCGGAAAATACCACCAATCTAGTAATCGAAGTTGTGGAGAGAGATAGCTTAGACCATGTGGTAGATGCCATGTTGTCGTCTCGTTACCTTTTTGACAACAACCTCTTCTTAAGTTTAAGAATTGGAGATTAGACATTTTTTCAAAAGCTCTCTCACTTATAATTTGTTCGTCTTCATAACATATAAAGTTTATGCCAATAACACTTCTACTACCCTGGAAAAATAATACAGCCAAGAAAAATAGATAGAGATGATTAGTTATCAAATAGACTAAATTTGTAATGAGCAATGCAATAAACAGTACTAATGGCAAAACTTACTGTTTCATCGCCCATCAATACGTCACAAATCTCTCCATCATTGACCAAAAACTGGCGCTGCCCAGGATCATGAGACTGTTTACGAACAATATCTCTACCCATTTTTTCTAGCAGGCTATTCATTTCTATATTACTATAAAACATATATATGAGAGATTTCTCAATTAAGACGTCAAGCCTTTGCTTCACATCCGGAAATGTCTTTTTAAGATGCTCTACCACTTCCTTAATCAGATAACCTTTGAAAAAGCAGGCTATATGAAGAAATAGGTATTGATCCTCGTCCCATAAGGCATCATAACTGAACTGTAAAATGCTTTCAATTTTTCCGTCAAGGCTTCTCCATAATTTTTGTATTTCCCTTTCCCACTCCTCCTTGTACATATTTCGAAAGTGGGAGCCCATAACCTGAAGCCCTAGAGGAAGATTACCGGCCAGGTATGTAACTTGCCGAGCAAGATCCTCGAAACCTTCTTCAGGGTACTTCTGACCAAAAGCATACATGCAGAACATTTGAAACGCCTGATCATCTGTTGGATAATCCACTTTGTAGATATCTTTGATCCTATGTTGCTTCAAAACTCTTAGATCTTCTGTTGTGATGATAATCCGACTTCCACGACCAAACCAACTAGTTTTTTCCGCCAAGGCATCTAGTTGTGCTAACCGATCCACATCATCAAGAACAAGAAGTACTTTCTTGTATTTCAACCTTTCTTGTGCGACTCCTAAATGTGAAATAACGATGATATCTTTGTGGTTGAGCATCTTAGACAACATTTGGCTCTGTAGTTGTAGTTGTGCACTGCCTTCATCAAGACAAGGTCTTGGATAATCTCCTTTAATATTCACCATGAGTGCTCTCGATTGGAATTCTTCAGAGTATTGGTTAAATAGGCATCTTGCGATGGTGCTTTTACCAATCCCAGGAGGACCCCAAATCCCAATCATCCTCACTTCCTCCAAATCTAGGCGTAACAACGGTTCCATCTTTCTCATATGATCTTCCATCCCAATCAAACCTTTAAAATGACTTGATGGTATAACAATATTCAACAGGTTCGAAATATCAGTGGCTATGTCTTCGATCATGGTTGCTTCATCACGCCTGAAAAAAAGAGGGAGATATATTTATACATCTGGTATATAAATAATAAATTAAAACACACATACACATTTTAAATGATTTGACTTTCTCTTGGCTATATATTATTTAGATTCTACAAAAAAATAATTACAGTTTAAAACTTTTGTTTTTGTTCGATAATTAAATTTTATAATATAGTATGTTCAGAAAGATTAAGGGCATGTGGATATCAAGAGACGAACCACTTGTTTGAATGGTAACCGGCGATTGTTGCCACTATTTCCAAAGCTTGACTCCATTTCCCAATGACCTCATTTGTTTTACCTTCACAAGTTTTGTTGAAGACTTTCCCAAAATCACGAGTCTGCTTCTTTATATCAGTTGGATCCACTTCATAGAAAATGGGTTTTACTGTTTGACCCAAATCTTCCTTACATTTCATAATCTCTACCAACTCATCAAGACACCACGAGGAAGAAGCGTAGTTTTTCGAGAGCAAGACAAGCGCAATCCTCGATCCTTGAATAGCTGTTTTGAGCTCAGGGCCGATAAATTCTCCTCTCTTGATCTCGTTATCAACGAATGGGCTGATTCCTTTGCTTCTGAACTCCTTCATAATGTGACTGAGAAAGGATCTACGCACATCTGCTCCGTGAAAGCTTGGGAAGACATCGTGTAAATAATTACGAGGCAAAGTCTGGGCCTCATCATTTGTCGCTGGCCCAATGTCTGGTTGATCTGTAGAACCAGAGTTCTCAATATGGGGAGATGGAAGAGATGAAAAAGCATAAGCAATTCTTTTGTTTTTTTGCACTTTGAACTTCCCATAAACCATATAAAACATTTTAGTACCCAAAAGCGTGAAGATTGCAGCAGCAACATTCACAAGGAAAAGTTTGAAATCCATCACTAGCTAGTACGATCTTAGAGACAAGGTTTTAAGATCACAAGAGCTTTTAAGAGAGATAGAGTAAAGGATTTACGCAGAGGCTTTGTTTATCTAGACTGAAAACGTCGACTCCATTGACTTAGAAAGAGAGAAATTAATCTTATTGGAAATAACTTGTCTTGGAAAATATGTGAAACACAGCCCTCTAGGCTCTAGCTATCATTATTACGTAGGTTCCACCATTCTTGGAAGTTCTCTGAACCAACGTTCCTTCACATTTCCTGTAATTTGAAAAAAAAAAAATTTCTTTTCAAAAATCATCCGACTTTGACTATGTCGTTTTAGCTCCAAAGGTCATCAGCTAAAATGTTTGTGAAGAACTTATATACACTTGATTTCTTAGAGCATGTCCAGTGGGGGTTCATCCCCTTATTTGGGCTCGAAATCATATATAAAACGCAATTAAAAAAAGGAAAAGCCCATATTCGACGGATCAGTTCATCCGGTTGAACCTGATGAACCCGTCTTTTATCCACGTGTCTTGAGGGAATTGGAAGAAAATCGGGGTAATTTTAGGGGAGGAAAAAAAAGTTATCGGCCCAATATTCATTTCTCTTTCTCCGATATTTTTTTCTTTCTCTCGTTCCCTTCTCCGGCGATTTTTCGAGATTCCGTCGATTCCGTTCAAACCGGCAAATTTTTCCGGTGGATTGGTAATCGTAGCATCGCGCTTCCGTCTCATCGTCAAGGTAATCCTTTGGTCTTCAGTTCTCAATCTATTTTTAACGAATTCGTAGGATTAGGATTTCGTATTTTTGGGGAAAAACTGGAAATCCAAAATCGGTGTTTTTTTTTGGGGATTTTGGGTGGATTACGGATGGTTGCCTCTTATTTGATATCCGTAATCGATTTTCCGTATGGTATTTGACTGATTTACGTGAAATTCAAATCGACGAAATTAGGGTTTTTTGAGATTAGGAAAAAATTTGGGGCTTTTCTTTCGGGGTTGCAGTTTGGGTAGAAAACATGGTTTTTGTTTCGGTTTAGCTCTATTTCGGATTGGATTGCATGCTTGATGATATATGTGATGGATTTGTATGCGATGAAATTAGGGTTTTCTGAAATTTGGGGAAAATTTTGTGTGCCTTTATTTTTGGGTTTCATTTGCGGTTTACTACACTGAAATACATTTGCTAATTTGTGTTATGTATGATCTTTAGGGTATGAACTATGTTATTCACTTTGTTTTAGATCTAGTTTCTATGTTATTGCTTCATCAGGTTTGTATGCTATTTAGATAATAAATTTTGATTTGCTATGGGTCTTAGACTTGTTGCATTTACTGGTTTGGGTTGTATGATTTTTAGATAACGAAGTTGTGTATTTAAACTCTTGTCATCTTTGATATATCAAAGTGTCGACTATGTGTTGCTTTGTTGTTTTATCACAGCCACATATGTCTAATTCTCTCGACGTTTTTCTTGTCAGGTACTGTCACTGCAACTTGGCCAGTACAACTTGGATTTTGATCCGTGACCACATTCACCAATTTTAGAGGGGCCATGAAGCTTTTGTCTGCATTCTATTGTAACCGCTTATTTTATG